CCATGTTGGAAGTGTCCTTTTGTCCATCACCCTGTGTGTATGTTTCATGATACTGTGAAGAAGTGTGATGCGACACTGATTGGCCATGTTGGAAGTGTCCTCTTGTCCATCACCCTGTGTGCATGTTTCATCGTACTGTAAAGAAGTGTTGTGCGACACTGACTGGCCATGCTGGAAGTGTCCTCTTGTCCATCACCCTGTGTGTATGTTTCATCATACTGTGAAGAAGTGTGATGCGACACTGACTCGCCATGTTGGAAGTGTCCTTTTGTCCATCACCCTGTGTGTATGTTTCATCATACTGTGAAGAAGTGTGATGCGACACTGACTCGCCATGTTGGAAGTGTCCCCTTGTCCATCACCTTGTGTGTATGTTTCATGATACTGTGAAGAAGTGTGATGCGACACTGATTCGCCATGTTGGAAGTGTCCTCTTGTCCATCACCCTGTGTTTATGTTTCATCATACTGTGAAGAAGTGTGATGCGACACTGACTCGCCATGTTGGAAGTGTCCTCTTGTCCATCACCCTGTGTGTATGTTTCATCATACTGTGAAGAAGTGTGATGCGACACTGATTCGCCATGTTGGAAGTGTCCTCTTGTCCATCACCATGTGTGCATGTTTCATCATACTGTGAAGAAGTGTGATGCGACACTGACTCGCCATGTTGGAAGTGTCCTCTTGTCCATCACCCTGTGTGTATGTTTCATCATACTGTAAAGAAGTGTGGTGCGACACTGACTCGCCATGTTGGAAGTGTCCCCTTGTCCATCACCCTGTGTGTATGTTTCATCATACTGTGAAGAGGTGTGGGGCGACATTGACTCGCCATGTTGGAAGTGTCCTCTTGTCCATCACCATGTGTGCATGTTTCATGATACTGTGAAGAAGTGTGGGGCGACACTGACTCGCCATGTTGGAAGTGTCCCCTTGTCCATCACCTTGTGTGTATGTTTCATGATACTGTGAAGAAGTGTGGGGCGACACTGACTCGCCATGTTGGAAGTGTCCTCTTGTCCATCACCATGTGTGCATGTTTCATGATACTGTGAAGAAGTGTGGGGCGACACTGAATCGCCATGTTGGTAGTGTCCTCTTGTCCATCACCATGTGTGTATGTTTCATCATACTGTGAAGAAGTGTGATGCGAAACTGACTGGCCATGTTGGAAGTGTCCTCTTGTCCATCACCTTGTGTGCATGTTTCATCATACTGTGAAGAAGTGTGATGCGAAACTGACTGGCCATGTTGGTAGTGTCCTCTTGTCCATCACCATGTGTGCATGTTTCATGATACTGTGAAGAAGTGTGGGGCGACACTGACTCGCCATGTTGGAAGTGTCCCCTTGTCCATCACCCTGTGTGTATGTTTCATCATACTGTGAAGAAGTGTGATGCGACACTGACTGGCCATGTTGGTAGTGTCCTCTTGTCCATCACCTTGTGTGCATGTTTCATCATACTGTGAAGAAGTGTGATGCGACACTGACTGGCCATGTTGGAAGTGTCCTCTTGTCCATCACCTTGTGTGCATGTTTCATCATACTGTGAAGAAGTGTGATGCGAAACTGACTGGCCATGTTGGTAGTGTCCTCTTGTCCATCACCATGTGTGCATGTTTCATGATACTGTGAAGAAGTGTGGGGCGACACTGACTCGCCATGTTGGAAGTGTCCCCTTGTCCATCACCCTGTGTGTATGTTTCATCATACTGTGAAGAAGTGTGATGCGACACTGACTCGCCATGTTGGAAGTGTCCCCTTGTCCATCACCCTGTGTGTATGTTTCATCATACTGTGAAGAAGTGTGATGCGACACTGACTCGCCATGTTGGAAGTGTCCCCTTGTCCATCACCCTGTGTGTATGTTTCATCATACTGTGAAGAAGTGTGATGCGACACTGACTCGCCATGTTGGAAGTGGCCCCTTGTCCATCACCATGTGTGCATGTTTCATCATACTGTAAAGAAGTGTGATGCGACACTGACTCGCCATGTTGGAAGTGTCCTGTTGTCTATCACCATCATGTATGTTTCATCATACTGTGGGGGCACGTGTGGCCAAGTCGTCTAAGGTGCCACGATTCGCTTTGCAGAGTTGCGTCCTTTGGGCAGAAAAGAAACCTTCGATTTGTGGGTTCGAATCCAGGCCCGCCCCGATTATGTTTCTAGGTTTGTGAGCACCAAACGTGGGTTTCATCAAAGTGGTACACTTCTGAGACCGGCATCACGTTGGGCTTTCCTCCCACATGAAGCTGACGATATAACTGGAATTCTGTGAAGAAGTGGCATTAAAAACCCAACGCACTCACTCACTGATCATACTGTGAAGAAGTGCGTAGCGACACTGACTCGCCATGTTGGAAGTGTCATATCAACTGGCTTGATGTCTCTTCTCATAATATTAGGCTCGGGTTAATCCAATTTATTCAGAACTAGCCTAGCCTTCCACGTGATGTTAATAGTCAACATGTCTGACGTAATTTATCACCTGTGACAGTGAAACTGAAGAGTACGATATCATATTTATCATCTCTCAGATCTTTTCAGTCATGATCGGATCAAGTCAACCTTATCAATAATGATCAATAAATGATCAATAAATGTGACAAACATGAGGAACGAACTTTGACAAGAGTAACGTAAAATAAGTACCGTAAATCCCCATTGTCCCTAATATGGTGGCCTAACCTTGGCTGCTGGTGTTCTCTTGCCCATTTTTTTATGTTTTTTGTCCATTCGTTTACTGTCCATTGTCGACAGGTCTTTTATGAACTCTAAATGTATTGACTATTACGGCATAAATTTTTCTCGTCACGATTTTCTGAAATATTGAGGACTGACGTTAAATTGTAACAAGACAGGAGTGGGTTAGAAAAGTTCATTGGAACCACGTGGCTGGTCGTGATAGGCGATACCATGCAGGTTTTTCTGGCGATGTTCTGTGTGCTAAACAGAAGTGAAACAGACGTTACAGACTGTGGTAAGTCGAAACATTATCCTGCCGGCAACGAAACAGCTCTGCTGCATGACCCACTTCACTCTCACAAGTGAGATCTATACTTGAGTGAGTGAGTGAGTGAGTGAGTGAGTGAGTGAGTGAGTGAGTGAGTGAGTGAGTGAGTGAGTGAGTGAGTGAGTGAGTGAGTGAGTGAGTGAGTGAGTGAGTGAGTGAGTGAGTGAGTGAGTGAGTGAGTGAGTGAGTGAGTGAGTGAGTGAGTGAGTGAGTGAGTGAGTGAGTGAGTGAGTGAGTGAGTGAGTGAGTGAGTGAGTGAGTGAGTGAGTGAGTGAGTGAGTGAGTGAGTGAGTGAGTGAGTGAGTGAGTGAGTGAGTGAGTGAGTGAGTGAGTGAGTGAGTGAGTGAGTGAGTGAGTGAGTGAGTGAGTGAGTGAGTGAGTGAGTGAGTGAGTGAGTGAGTGAGTGAGTGAGTGAGTGAGTGAGTGAGTGAGTGAGTGAGTGAGTGAGTGAGTGAGTGAGTGAGTGAGTGAGTGAGTGAGTGAGTGAGTGAGTGAGTGAGTGAGTGAGTGAGTGAGTGAGTGGCTGTCATGACTGAGGCCGATTTAAAGTTCTAGCACTCTGAGATACCATGCCGCAGTTATACCTGAATACCCCACTCAGTATATTGACTCCGAGCCGACCAGTCCTTGTTTTAGCCCCGTTATGCCAAGCGCCAGGCAGGGTAACAACAAGTACCATATTTTCACGTCTTTTGGTATGACGAAGATGTGTTGGTAGTTTATTTTGCTTTTGTTCGTTGCAGTCAGCAATATTCCAACTATGTTACAGCATACATAAAACAAATAACCCAGTCTCAATCCTCAATCTCGAATCTTGCCACAGTCGTATTTGCCATTCTAGGTATCCGCAATATTTATTAAAGCCGATTGTCTTGGATGTGTATCCGGTGTGGTGAGAGAATCACAGTGACGGTTGTCCTCATTAGCTGTGTTGACTTTTCCACCACACGGGATAAATAATTCAAAGCTTCGTATGTGCTCCTTTACTGAGGTAGTCTTGAAGAAATTTTATTACTTGATGGATTTGAGATAATGGGCAAAGTAAACTTGTAGTGTTTAATCAGTGCATGAAGTTGTTAGTTGCTGCATCCTCAAAGGGGGCTGATGTTGCATCTTTCCTGCCCTCATGCCAGGTTTAAGTACAAATCTGTGATAGTGTCGTTATATTGTCTGTTGGCGATGGTATGTTATATTCAAAGGAAAAACATAATTCTAGTCACGGTATCGCTGAAATACTTCCGATGTCCCACCTGACCCCTACCCTGAAATCCTGAATACGAATGAGTGAGTGAGTATGGTTATGCCGCTTTTAGCAGTATTCTCACGGCGGGAGAACAGACCCTGGTGTCATCAAATTGTAATGATACTCAAGTTAACGCGAACACAAGGTTGTTGACACCTGCTTTTGAAATTCTTGTATCATGAGAGTACAGCGGAAACCACACAGAACTACTTCATAACTTGACGATGTCATGATGAACGTCTTCACGATTCCCTGTCACCCAGATTCAAGATTTATGCAAGAACTACTTCCTTTGAGAAATGCTATTCATTGAGTGCAAATAATTCGAACACCACAAACTTTATGTTAAATGTTCCACAAATTATTGCTGTTATGCTACAAGCGAAGAAACATCGATCTTGGTCTTTTCACAATAACATTTTGTGACTTGTGTCTTCAATGAAGACGACGTGGCAGTAAGGTTTTGAAAACAAAAGACGTGTGCATTTGTTGAAAGTGCTGGTAATGTTTCATTGATTGTCCATGATGGTGAGTGACAGTGCATTTATTGTTCCCTTTCAAATGTTCCACGGGAGAGTGTTTACATGTCATGTCAACCGATAAACAGTAACCAGTGAGGTTGTGTGCTATCGTGAAGTCACATTGACAGCTCAGCTCACTCCAATAGCATCGTCTTCTGGGTATGCCACTGTGATCAATATTGAAAGTCACTAGTTGTAAAGTTTTGTATGGTCAGGCACTCAGTGTGTTATAGCTACAGTTGATCAGGGTCTTGCTTTCCCACAACTAGATCTCGGGAAGTACTGTTGCAGACTCTGGTCATGTTCTTGCGGATCTTCATTGTATTGCATCTTGGTCAATTAGTACTGACTAATATATTGTGTATAAACGTACGTTTTACGAGAATACAACAAGTTTTCATGTCGCATCTTCGAAACACCACAGCCAACACTAGAGCTGATTGTAGCGTCCAGTGCTTGTCTGAACCTAACTGTGGCGCATTTACATTCACTGAAGTTGGTGGAACGTGTTCAATGCTCCTTGATGAGACTGGGTCATCCGCAAGCTGTGTTAAAGGACATGTGTACAAGTCAAGTATGTATAACATTCTACTTATTATTAATATCCCCCGCAACGCACGGATCCGTCCGTATGTTCATCTGTGTAAGATGTCGTTTCTGGGTCAGATCTTGAAAACCGTACATTTTTCCTTCACCACACTTAGCACATAGTTTGTCTGGTGATGAACTGGTGCCTTGTTATGGCTTCGGAGTTTTGTAAAATGTATTTTACAACTTTCGATGGAAACAAATTTGACTTAGACTGAAAATGGGGCTTGTGGTCGTTTCCAGAGCAGTTCTTGAAAATCGTAAACTATTTCTTCAGCAAACGTATTAAAAGAAGCATTTACCATTGCGGGTGATGTCCATAACTTTGTCCTCTTCGTGTTATTATTTCTGTAAAATGTTTACGGTAGTCAGAATACGGACATGCCGGAAGCATACACTAACTGTTTATTTTTGCTTGTAGCTTAAAACCGAATAACATCAATATTGGACACTTCTGTCATTAAGTTATAATACTCCTTGTTATGCACAGTCCGCTGTGGTGTAGTTCCCAATGAGTTACTTATATACATTTACACATGATGATCTTAAAGGGGCAATTTCTAAAGCTCTAAAGAATATGCCTGATTCTGTTCTTGAAGTTCATTCGCGATCTTTTGAATATGTGCTGGCTTTCTGTATTCGTTCCAAAGGCGTGGAGACCCTATTATTATACCTGTACCAACAACCGGTAAAGACACCTCACTACCTTACAAAAGATCCCACTAAAAAATTAGTAGCAATATTTAATGATGAATACTCGTAGTAAAATTTCTTCAAAGATTGAGTTATCTCTTGGGGACTTAATTTAGGTGTTATATCAGAGTTTTAAGCAGAGACTCACGTGGTCAAGTCATATATTCAATCTTTGCAGCCGTTGTAACTGTGTTATTAATCTTTTGCAATGTGTGTACAAAACGCAATGAGGAGCTGATAGACCTACCATACTATTGCTACATAATGCACTTATCCTATCAAGACTTACGAGGGGTGTTCATTAAAGATTTCCCATGACCCACTTCCGATGGACCTAGTGGAATGAAACTTGGCATAGGTATTAGTCTTTCTCCACATAGGATCCACCAAGAGTTACACACTTCTCCCATCGTTTTATGCAACTATGGAGACCTCGCTTGTAAAAGCCATCATTTTGCGTCTCAAACCAGGACTTGGCTTCAGAAATCAGTGTTTCATCATCTGTGAAACGTTTTCCCTTAAAAAATGACTTCATGGTTGGAAAGAGGTGGAAGTCAGATGGTGCAAGGTCAGAAGAGTAAGGAGGATGTGGAAGGACTTCATAGCCACAGGACCGCGCTTCTGTCTGGGCAACATGAGAGTTGTGTACTGGAGCATTGTCTTGCAGGAGACGGACACCCTTGGTCAGCATGCCACGCCTCTTAAGCTTGATAGCGTCCCGCAATTTCCGCAGCAGTGAAGCATAATAAGCTCCTGTAATTGTGGTACCCTTTGCCAAGAAATCCATCATCACTACTCCGTGCTGGTCCCAAAACACCGTGAGCATGACCTTGCCTGCAGAGGGTTGGACACGTGCCGTCTTTGGGGGTGGTGACTCCACATGCTTCCATTTTGCATCGACTGAACTTTAGTCTCAGGATCATAGTGATGGACCCATGTTTCATCCTGTGTGATAAGTCTGTCAAAAAGGTTTGCCTGGTTTTTTTTGGCACATGTCCAAAAGATCCTTTGAGCAATTGACTCGTTCCTGCTTTTGGAAAGGTGTGAGCAACCTGGGAATCCATCGTGCAGACACCTTATGCATGTTCAAATTGTCATGGATGATTTTTTCCACAGACCCTACACTTATCTTGACATCTCGTGCTAACTGGCGAACAGTTATACGTCGGTCTGCCAAAATGGCGGTCTCCACTTGATGGATAGTGTCCTCATCAATGGCTGAATGGGGGCGACCAGGAATGGCAGCTGTTTCCACAGATGTCCGACCACACTTGAACTGGCGATGCCAAGGTTTAACAACGTCATATGATTGGGCATCTTCCCCATAAGTTGCTTTCATTTCATCGAAAGTTTCTTTTGGTGTGCGACCTTTCAAATATGAAAACCTAATCACTGCTCGGTATTCTACTGGCTCCATTGTCACACCCTACTCGATCATAGCACCTGTAAAAGTGGTAAGATTAATAGTTCGGTGCTGCAAATTCAGACATAACCCATAGAGACATGTATCTTTGTGAACATGTGAAATTTCAACCAAATATCATAACCCTAAGTGGTTTAGGGGAAATCTTTAATGAACACCCCTCGTAACTATTGCTGCCAAGTCTTCATGTCAGCTTCTGAAAGCCATCACCTTAAACTTGATCGCATTCTTCTGGAGCTAAAAGGATTTGCACAAGAGCATTTGTAACAACTACAGTCTCAGTGCTTCAAGTTGAATGTTCTGACACGCCCTTGTTCCTGTCACGTTAACATATATCACATGAGTACTTTCTGAAGATAAGGGCTATGACAGTTATAATTCAGTTACTGATACAGTTAATGGGTCGAGTTTGTCAAGTGTGGCCAGATTTCGTTTGGCTTGATAATTCAGAAATCGACAGCACAAAAGGAGCTGGTCACATGAATCCAGTGGATCATTCCATGCCTTCTAAAACTGCTCCTTGGCTGCTCCTTAAGCCAGGATCGTGTCATGAACTCAATTCCATTCTTAAGAATAATATGAGTCTAAACAAAGTGAGAGCATTTTCTGAGGATTTTGTACAAGAACACTATGCAGATTTTACACACATTTATACTGACGCCTCCAAGGAGTCTTCCATAGTTGTACTGCTGGGGCTTTCTGGGTCCCTGTTTATGCTATCTCGGACGTGTATTTCCATATTTGCAACGGAAAACATCTTTGATGTATGTATGAATGTGTCTGTCATGCATGTATGTATGTGTCTTTCATGTATGTATGTATAAGTCTTTCCTGCATGAAGGTATGTGTCTTTCATTCCTCTACATGTACAGTAAACTACGGTTATAGCGAACTTAAAGGCCAGGAACTACTATTTTTAGTTTGTTATAACCGTAGTTCGTTATAAGGATATGTATATCATATATACAACAAATAACTAAAAGTAAGTTTGTTGTTTTGGTCATATCGTTATAAGAGTCTTGTGCCTTTCATGCAGGTATGACATGGGTCTTTCATGCATGTATGTCCTTTCTTTCATGCATGTATGTCGTTTGTCTTTGATGGATGTTGGTATGTGTCTTTGATACAGGCATGTAATGCCTCTTTTGTGCATGTAGGTATGTGTCTTTCATTCATATATGTCATGTCTTTCTCACAAGTATGTCACGTGTCTTTAAGGCATGAATATTGTGTTTTTCATGCATGCAGGTACATGTATGTGTCTTTCATGCATGTACGTCATGTGTCTTTCATGCATTGGCACTCGTGAAGAGCAACCTCCTCATGGTGAGTGCTGGGTAGCGTTAATATCTCTTCTCCCGTGTGGACCCTGGGTAGAATGTGTCTTCAGCATCCCATGGCTGGTCGTAAAAGACGACCGAATTGGGCAGCCTGTTTGCCTAGGGTTGCGCCCCTGTGTCGGTAGAGGACGGGATTCTGGTGGTTGAGGGCACTGGAGCCAGGAACAGGTATTCCTTTTGCCCAACATACCACTTTGACCCTTACTTCATCTAGACGGGTGGTAGAATGGGCCCGATTCTGTCAATCGGCTGGTCACGCCAAGCCCTGTGCATAAAATTGTGTATGCACAAACGTATTTTTTATAAATGTATTATTTAGACTTGGCCATGTATAACATGTTTGAATTCACAAATTATTTATGTAACAATTTGCCTTGAGTCTTATGCCAGAAGGTGGTGGCTCATGGGCCAATATGGTGATGTTGACCTCCGAATAATGTATATATGTCTCCATTTTTTGTCATGGGCCAAACCATAGCTATTCGCGTCATATTTGCTGGAGTATAGAACTCTTGTGTCCCTGGTGTTTGCAACTTGGATATCCGTTGCAATGTGACACCGTACTTGTTGACGCTCCATGGTGGGTGGGGAGTTGGAGTTCTGACCTACTTTCTGTCATCATGTCTCTCCCATAACTTGGTTCAAATACAAAAAAAAGGGGAGGAGACTAGAAATTGACAATTCAACGGACAGTGTATCTCAAAACATAGATTCGTGGGCTAGCAATTCCAAAAGCTGTTTCTGGGATTTGTGGCGAGGTTAAAAATGTCACTCGTCGCCTTGTTGGTTCCCTCCTGGTGGAATGTTTGCGGAGACAGCAATCTCTTAATCTTTTATCGATTCATACATCTGCAAAGGTCGAAGTTGCTGTGTCCGCACTCTTGCAGAGGCATTATTCGAGACATGGCTCGTAGCCTTTCTGACATGTCAGTCAGGGGCGGTCGGGTAGCCTAGTGGTTAAAGCGTTCGCTCGTCACGCCGAAGACCCCGGTTCGAATCCCGACATGGGTACAATGTGTGAAGCCCATTTCTGGTGTCCCCCGCCGTGATATTGCTGGAATATTGCTAAAAGCGGCGTAAAACCAAACTCACTCACTCACTCTGACATGTCAGAAGATGAAATCACTGCAGAGTTGGAAGATAAGGCTGTGACGTCGAAGGCGCCGCTCCATCTCATCCCGCATGTGCTCGATTGGTGAGAGATCAGGGGAGCGAGCCGGCCAGGAGATGACATTCACGTTGTTTTGTTGAAGAGAATCCCGAATAAATCGAGCAATATGAGACCGGGCGGTATCATGATGAAAGGTAATGCCTGGGCCATGACGACGCAAAAACGGTAGAACATCAGGGCCGATGATCTCGTCGCGGTAGCTCTGTCCATTGAGATTTCCCTCTACCACTATCAAACGCATCCTCTGTCTTGCTGTAATCCCACCCCATACCATAACGCTGCCGCCCCCGAACCGATCTTCTTCCATGGCACAATGATTGACGTAACGTTCACCTCGACGTCGGTACACTCGAATCCGT